TTTTTTATTGATATGTATTTATTTTCTCAGTAATTGGTTATATAACTACATTTTCATTGCAATATATCATATACTTTGTAATATTTAACTACGTATACCCTCCCCTTTCTTCAAGATTCCCCCTTTCATTAGTACATTATGTTTCTCCAAATAGGTATAATTAATTTATGTATGTATGTATGTATGTATGTATGTATGTATGTATGTATGTATGTATCTATCTATCTATCTATCTATCTATCTATCTATCTATCTATCTATCTTTAGATATGCCACTTCTGTGCATGCATGTGTACTTACGCACATACATGTATAATCCAGGACAAATCTACAACAAATAATTTGATATTTATCTTTATAAGATTGGTTTAATTTAGCTTAATAAGATAAATTTTAGTTCTATCCATTTTCCTGTAAAGGCATTTTTTCCCATTAATTTTTATAGCTAAATAAAACTCTGTTGTATATAAGCATTATATTTCATTTATCCACAAATTTGTTAATAGGCATTTAGGTTTGTCTTATAACTTGGCTTTTCTGGCTAGTTTTATGGCAACCTGATACAAGCTAAAGTCATCTAAGAGGAGGGAACCTCAACTGTCAGAGTGCCTCTGTAAGATTAAGCTGTAGGCAGAGAAGATTGATGGAGGAGTGTCCTGCTCATGGTGGGTGATACCATCCCTGGGCTGGTGGTTCTGGGTTCTATAATAAAGCAGGCTGAGCAAGCCATGTGTAGCAAGTCAGTAAGCAGTATCCTCTATGGCCTCTATATCAGCTCCTGCCTCTAGGTTCCTGTCTGGTTTTAGTTTTTGCTTCCCTCAATAGACTGTGATTCAGTATGTAAGCCAAATAAACCTTTCACTTCCCCCTCCCAAAAAAAAAAAAACAAATCTAATCTTTTACTTGTAAACAGCTTTTAGTTTTAGAGTAACCATGGTGAATTTGAGATGGAGAACTCCACTATCAATGGAAAGATGGTAAATGAAAGTTTTGTATTTAATGACACATATCTACCAAAGAACCTGGATAGTGGTGGAGAGTATTTCTCTAAGAGTCCCTCTGAGGGAGTGGAGATTTCACTCACATTCTGAGTATTTGTCATGGGCTTTTGCCAAGTTCTGTCTGTCTATTCTTTTGTAGTTTTTATTATTTTGTTTTAATTTTATATTTCAGTTTTTATTTAGCAGTATATGAGTGTGCCTTCTGTGTAGGTCTCTGAGTGTGAGTCCTTGTGTCTTCTCAAGGGCATGTGCTCTTCACTACTGAGCCACTTCTCTAGCTGTTTCATTTGTAATCGTATACACATTTTCCATGTGTTCATTTTATTTTATTTTTGTTTATTTATCGTTTTGTTTTTGGGATACAAGTTTTTTCTTTGTAGACCTGGCTATCCTGGAACTCACTCTGTAGGTCAGGCTGGCCTCAAACTCACAGGGATCCACCAGCCTCTGCCTCCCTGAGTGCTTTGATTACAGACATGCACCACTGTGCCAGGCTTCAAGTGCTCATTTTTGCTCCAGTAACTTTCAGGATAATTTAAATCTTGAGGAAAGAGTTAGGAATTGATAAATAAAGTAAGATGATTTGAAGGAAAACTTTAGGTTTAGAGTTGAGGAATGGTAAGCTTAGAAAGTTTAAAAGCCTTCCTTACTCATTAGATGCTCTATATTATTAAAAGTAGCATTGTGTTATCTCATTTCTTAAGAGAAAAATATGGAGCTGTACTTTTCAATAGACTGTTATTGACTCAAGAATTGTGGATCAAGCTGGGCATGGTGCCACATGCCTGTAATACCAGCACTGGAGGTGGAGTGGCCAGTGGATCTCTGAGGTCGAGGCCAGCCTGGTCTGCAAAGTGAATCAAGGACAGCCAAGGCTCCAAAGAGAAACCCTGTCTCAAAAAAATGGAACCAATCAAACAAAAATAATTTTGGATTAGTCTTTATTCATAAATGATAAGAATATATCAAATAACAGAATTCTGAATTATTGATGAGATTCACCTAGTAATGTAGTTTATTTGAAATTATGGTATCATACAAATGTCTTCAGTTTTAAGAAGTGGTCCATTTTGCAAAAGAATGTATATGAATGTTACAAATTAAACACAGATTTATATCTGATAAAATTAAGATCATTTTCTCATGTGCTTCCAATCCAGAATAACTGAAAAATATAGCCTTAAATTTCCCTAGTTTGGGAACTGGAGAGATAATTCAGTAGTTCTTGCAGAGGATTTGGGTTTGATTCCTATATTCCACATGGCAACCTCAGAATACCTTATAATAACTGCAGTTCCAAGGTATCCAACATGATCTTCTGGCCTTTGGGCAGCAGGTACACAGGTGGTATACATACATGCAGACGTACAAATCTTAAAAATAACATTACATATATGCAAATTCCTTCAATTCAAAGTTAATTTTCTAATTATGTACAAGTTTTTCAAAATTAAAATTTGAGGTGTGTTACAATAATTTGCTGCTGAAATTTTTATACATACTTAAAAACTTTTTTACATGTTATATACTTGAGGCCTATCATATTTCTTTACAGTTTACAAATATGCTTGAGTATGTGAAAAAGTCTTTTAAGGCTTGAGATATTTTTCTCATAAGATGTTATGGTTGAAATTGCCTTGTTTTGGTTACTGAAGAGTCAAGAAGCCAATGAGAGAGGAAACTATGCTTCTTAAATCTGAAAAAAAAATGTAATTATCCATAAATACTGTAAATTTTCTGCCTGTATGCATTTCTTTTTTAATTTTTTTTTTTAGTAATTACACTTTATTCACTTTGTATCCCCCCTGTAGCTTCCTCACTCCTCCCCTCTCATCCCTCCCTATAGCCACTCCTGATGAGACCTAATAGATTAGGAGCAGAAGGAAGTAAAAGAAGGCCTCTCCTATGAATGGACTTGGGGAGTGGCATGCAAAGTACACAAAAGGGATATTTGCTCAACCATGATTATAGCAGCTTTATTTGTAATAGTCAGAACCTGGAAACAACCCAGATGTCCATCAACGGAGGAATGGGTACAGAAATTGTGGTATTTTTACACAATGGAATACTACTCAGCAATCAAAAAGGAGGAAATCATGAAATTTGCAGGCAAATGGTGGGACCTAGAAAAGATCATCCTGAGTGAAATATCCCAGAAGGAGAAAGACAAACACGGTATATACTCACTTATATAGACCTATAAGATATAATAAACATAATGAAATCTGTACACCTCAAAAAGATAATTAAGAGAGCGGACATGGGGTAAGATGGTCAATCCTCATTTAGAATGACAGATGGGATGTGCATTGAACGTATGACAGGAGTCTACTGAGCGCATTGGAAAGACTCTAACTAGCAGTGTTTTCAAACAAAGACTCATGACCAAACCTTTGGCAGAGTACAGGGAATCATAAGAAAGAAGGGGAGTTAGTCTGATGAGGAAAGGATAGGAGCTCCACAAGGACCAAAGATATCTGGGCACAGGGTCTTTTCTGAGACTGACATGCAACCAAGGACCATGTATGAATGTAACCTAGAACCTCTGCTCAGATGTAGCCTGTGGTAGCTCAGTAACCAATTGGTTTCCCATAGTGAGGGGAACAAGGACTATTTCTAACAGGAACTCAATGACTGGCTCTTTGGCCTCCCCACCCCCCAAGGGAGGAGCAGTCCTGTCGGGCCACAGAGGAGAGCTTTGCAGCCAGTCCTGAAGATACCTGATAAAACAGGATCAGATGAATGGGGAGGAGGTCCCCCCTATCAGTGGACTTGGCAAAGGGCACGGTGGAGAGGAGGGAGGGAGGGACTGGGAGGGAATGAGGGATCAGGACACGGCTGGGATACAGAGTTATAAAATGTAACTGATAAGAAAAAAATAAAATACAAAAAAAAATATAAAAAAAATCTTTAAAAGGAACATTAAGGGTCATTGCCCATACTCATTGTGTTCAGATTCTGTAGTCTTCTCCCTCATCCCTTACCAATCCCACACTCCCTCTCTCATATCTTCCCATATCCACTCCCCTCCCCCCCCCCCCCCCCCCCCGCCAAGTCCACTGATAGAGAAGGTCCTCTTCCCCTTCTATCTGAATTAGCCTATCAGGACTCAAGACTGGCTGCGATGTCTTCCTCTGTGGCCTGGTAAGGCTGCTCCGGATCCAGCCTCTGAGTTCATGTCAGAGACAGTCCCTGTTCCCACTGTTCCAAGTAGGGCACCCACTTGGAGACTGAGCTGCCATGGGTTAAATCTGTGCGGGGGTTCTAGATTATCCCCATGCCTGATCCTTGGTTGGAGTATCAGTCTCAGAAAAGACCCCTTGACCAGATTTTTTGGTTGTGTTGCTCTCCTTGTGGAGTTCCTGTCCTCTTCAGGTCTTTCTCTCTCCCCTCACTTTCGTAAGATTCCCTGCACTCTGCCCAAATTTAGACTATGAGTCACAGGTTCTGCTTTGACACCCTGCTGGGTCGAGTCAGAGGTCCTCTTTGTTAAGTTCTTGCCCTGTTCCCTATTTTCTCCCTTCCCAATTTCTATTCTGTTGGTATTTCTGAGTGAGGATTGATCATCTATCCTAGAGTCCTACTTCTTGCTTAGCTTCTGAACTTTTTTTTCTTGAAAACATGTTTTTGTTTTTGTTTTTTTTTTTTTTTAGACAAGAGTTTTCTGTGTAGCCCTGGCTTTCCTGGAATTTACTCTGTAGATCATATTGTCCTCTAACTCACAGAGATCTGGCTGCCTCTACCTCCCAGTGTAGGGATTAAAGGCTTGTGCCACCACAGCCTGGCTGGATTCTGAACTCTTAATACAACCAAGTGATAATGTGAAGAGTTTTTTGTCTAGCTGCAGCTATTTTGAATATTAAATTCATTGTAATATCAATTTTTTTGTCACTTCTTCAGTTACTGGAAATGATGAGAACAGAATTGTTTATGATTTTCACTTGAAAATCTCATCCGTCCTTTGTTTTTCTCGTTTAACATGTAGATGACTGGAAAACTCCCAACATTGCAGCATCTGTTCAAGCTGCTTATCCCATACCAGCAGCCTGTGGAATTTATTATTTTGAAGTAAATATTGTCAGTAAGGGAAGAGACAGGTAAGTGTAAATTTTGGTTGCCATAACCATTTTTTATTCCTGGATAATTATATTTGAAATGATTCATAAATGTATATGATATAATTGGAAAGTTGTAATCTTGAAAATGTTGGTTTTGGAAAATTAAGCTCTAAATGTTACAGTACAACAGATTGGTTCTTTTAAGTACTAGCTGAAATAAAGCTTGAGCTCATGGTTGTAACAGTCTTTCTAGCAAGGTCTAGCAAGAGTTGAGATTTAATCAAGAGAGTGTCTCATTTTTTTTTTTCTGAATTCTGCTTAGAAGCTGGATCTTCTAAAACTTGCTTAGTCAAAGCCGGTATGTGGCTTGTAGGTATCTTAGTAGGCTTGGGGTTCAGTATTTGAGGTATGACTTGGAAGGTAGATTGCTTCTAAGTTCTTGATTCAGCGCTTCCTAGGAGGTTAGTATGTGGTATGAAAGCTTCAGAATGAAAACTCTGGTTGATTGTGGAACCAACTTTGGTTTATTGCTTAGTCTAATAATTGATGTGCTGAGATATGTATGCACATCAGAATCACTTATGGGACTATTAAAGTAAGTTTTGGAACTTAACCAAAATATTCTCAATCAGAATTTTCAGTAGTCAACTTTGGTAATGGTGTAGGCATTTTTAGAAAGGCCTATGAGGAATTTGGTGCATATCCTATCTAAGATTCCAGCTTCTGGTTATTACAAATAAGGCTGCTACAAACATGGTTGAGCAAATGTCCTTATTGTGTACTTGAGCCCCTTTTGGGTATATGCCTAGGAGTGCATGGAGATAACTTAAGACCCCTGCACAGATGTAGCTCATGGCAGTTCAGTGTCCAAGTGGGTTCCATTGTAATAGGAACAGGGACTGCCTCTGACAGGAACTGATTGGCCTGCTCTTTAAGTACCTCCCCCTGAAGGGGAAGCAAAATTACCAGCCTACAGAAGACAATGCAGCCACTCCCGATGAGACCTAATTCGATAGGATCAGAAGGAAGGAAAAGAAGACCTCCCCTATCAGTGGACTTGGGGAGCTGCATGCATGCAGAAGGGTAGAGGAAGGGATGGATTGGGACAGGAGAAAGGAGCGAACCATAGGGGGATACGAAGTGAATAAAGTGTATTTAATAAAAAAAAAAAAACTGAGTTGAAAAAACGACAGCCTTGTACTGCTCCTGTTTTTAGTGGAAATACTTTCAAGTCTTCCCTCCTTAGTATACTGTTGGCTATAGGCTTATCATATATATTGTTTACTGTGTTATATTCCCAGTGTCTTCAAGACTTTTGTCATGAAACTCTTTCAAAAACATTATTGTGTTTTTTGGGGATTCCCATGTGATTTATATCCTTGTCGACATATATAATTTTTAGTGTTTATTATAACTAACCATCCCTTTGGCTCTGGGTTTAAGTCAACTTGATCATGGTGAATGATCTCTTTGGTGATTTTTCAAATTTAGTTTGCAGATGTTTTACTTGTTGTTGTTTGTTTGCTTTAACCTTTGTTGCATTACTTACTGTTCTCTTGCTGTGAAGAGACATCATGACAAAGGCAATCCTTATACAAGAAAGCATTTGCATACAATTTGAGAAGTTGGTCCATTGTCATGACAGCAAAGAGTATGGTGGCACCCATTGTGCTGGAGAAGTAGCTGAGAGCTATATATCCTGATCTGCAAGCAGGCAGGTAGAAAGAAAGTCTAGGCCTGGCATGGGGCTTTGAAATCTCAAAGCTCTCTGTCAATGACACACTTCCTCCATCAAATCAATGCTTCCGAATCCTTCTAATACTTTCAAATTGTTTCACTCCACGTTGACAAAGCATTCAAATATATGTGCCTATGGTGGCCATTCTTCTTCAAACTATCACATATGTCCATCAGAGAGATTTGTCAATAATTTTGATTATAATGTCTTTATCTGGTCTTAGTATCAAAATTAATATTGGCTTTATAAAAATAATTTGGTAGTGTCTGTCTCTTCCTATTTTACCAAAGACAGTCAATCTATTTGGACTTGGACTTTGATTAGTTGTGTATTATTCATTTTTTTGTTGTTTGGTTTTGTTTTTGGACTAAAGTTGTGACATTTATTTAGAGGTGTGGTGTGTGATGGTCAGAGTATAGTTTGTGGAGAGTTAGGTCTTTGTTCCACTATGTAAGTTCCAGAACCATTACCTGTTGAGCCATCTCAGTGGCTGTGGGAGATTTTCTTTTCTTTTTAATTGTTGTTTTTGTCTCACTGCTTGTTATAGATCTATTTGAAGTATTCATCTCCTTTTGGTTTAATTTTGGTGGGCCATACATATGTAGAAATTATTTCATTTTTAAGATTTTTAATTTAGTACACTGTATATAATATTTTAAAGGTAAACCTTTAAAATTTTCATAAGTAACTACATTGATGTATGTTTTACAGGCTTCCTTTTCATCTCAGATTATTTAAATTGGTTCCATTTTCTTTGGCTTAGTTTGACCAAGGGTTTGTTGTTCTTAATCTTTTCAAAGAACTAACTTGGTGTTATTAATAATATGCATTATCATTATTTGTTTCTGTTTCATTAATTTTTGCCCTGGAATTGTTTCTTTCCAACTACTGATGGTAAGTTTTTCTTTTCTTTTTTTTTTTTTTGTTTGTTTTGTTTTGTTTTTTCAGAGCCTTGAGGTATATCGTGAGGTTATTTGATATCTTTCAGATTTCCTTTTATTGTCATGTAGAATGTAGTATTGGTATTTTGTGTGTATGGAAGTCAGAGGAAGTCCTGTGAAAGACACATTTCTCCTTCCACTACTTGGATTCAGAACATTGAACTCAGATTATTAGGCTTGCCTGTGAGTGCCATCTTATCCACTGAGACATCTCTCTAGCTTTTACCAATGTTTTAATATATTTATGAGTGATTACTATAGTTTACTGGAAATCTAGGTTTTATTGGTAGTTAATAGCACTCTTTGTTGCTACAGAATACACTGTAATAACTTTTCTGTTGCTCACTTAGGAGCCTCAGTTTGGGCTTGGTTCTGATGATGTTTTAGTGATTTGTCCATATCTGTCTGTAATAACCTGCATTTCCTTTCTTTTGTTCTCCAACAGCTACATGGCAGTTGGTCTGTCTGCTCAAAGTGTGAACATGAATATACTACCAGGTACACATGCAAGTGAATTACAGTATTGTTAGAGCCTGTCATTTAGGACTGTCATTTCTGCTTAAACTTTTCAAGTAATTGAAATAGCTGAAAAATACCTTCTTAAAGTTTTATCACTCTTAAATATTATGAATTCTGGGTGGAACTTGAGTGGGTTTTAATGTATTGAGATTACATGCTCCTGTTTAGAACTTACATACCATAATACCTATGCTTTGTTTTCCTGTTTGTTTTGTCCTTTTTAATTTTACATACTTGTACCAGCCACTTGAAATATTTTAATGTCACTGGCTCTGTTGCCATCAGTCACATCCCAACCTTTAACCCATTTTAGTTGTGTGACCTTGTGAGACTGTGGACAAATGACACAAGTGTGCTCAGGAGTGTGTGAATGATATGGAATACTATGCAGGAACCAGACAGCAGAAGGAATTGATTCTATTTCCTGATGTTAAAAATCAGTACTAGAAGAAAGTTTTTATGTAGAATGAAAACTGACCTATGCAGAACTCGAGGAAATACATTTTGACGGGAACATATCAAGACAGTGCCACTCCCATCTAATTTTTTTCTTGTATACCTTGCTGTACTTTCATTGGGCATTTTTGCTAAAAGTTATGAGGGTTTAATAGGGGTTTAATTATGATATTTAAGAATGTATGTAGTTGAGTGTAAAAAACATTAAAAATTATTAGACAGTTTTACATATGGATCACCATCTTGAGAAATTTGTGTTGACTGAAAATTATAATCTATTTTCATTAAAGTCTGTGTGTGTTATTCAAATTAAAGCAAAATGTCTTTGCTATATTAGTTAAAGAAGTAACGCATGGACAAACATGTAGTGCATGACTACAGTGTTTATGTTCATATTCCTGGTAAGAATTCTCTCTCTTCAGTACTTTTTTTTAAAATATGTGTTCTGGGTGGTGAGTTTATTTGCCTTAATGTTGCAGACATCATTTTAATGCTGAAATCACTCCATAATATAGTTGTTGAGAATATAGGTATATATTTGGAGTTTTTCATTTCTATATTATTTGTTGTGCTCTTCTGGCTTATCTCACAATGTTACTGCGTAAATGATTTCTGAGGAGCCTTGTTCTTCATTGTAAATATACTGAACCTATCTCTCCAGGTTGGGATAAAGATTCATATTGTTACCATGGGGATGATGGACATGTATATTGTTCTTCTGGACCTGGACAACCGTATGGACCAACTTTTACAACTGGTGATGTCATTCGCTGTTGTGTTAATATTATCAACAATACCTGCTTTTACACGAAGAATGGAGATAGTTTAGGTACTGAGATGATGTATTGAAACAAAATGCCAAATACTGTAATTTACTAATGCATGATGTTTGTGTTTATTATGTGATTCTGTTTATCTCTCCGTGTGTATGTTAAAGAAGTGATACAATTTGTATCCTGTGAAGGCTATCTTAGGTACAGTACTAATACCAGAATACTAGTAATACTAAAAGTTCTACCCAGCACTGAGCCATTCAGTCTGGTGATAGAAATGCTAAGTTTGGCTTGGTGGAAAAAACTTTACTAGTTATTCAATTCTCTAATACAACTTAAAAATCTGATCTACAAATAGTGTGGGGAACATTTAAAAGGAATGGATGGTCCAGTACTTCTAGTGAAAGAGTAGGATGGACATACTTAACAGTTAGACCTGCTGATGGTGATTGCTGAAGGATGATGTCTGAGAAAAGTCTCTGTCCAAGGATAGAATGAATAACAGAAATGAAAGACATGTGGGCTAAAATACATTAACAACACAAAGACACAGTGTAAGGAAATGAGAAGTTAAGGCTTTAGTTCAACCTGCATATGTTCATTAGTTAGCTTTGTGCATAGTTGTTATTGTAGGTTTTTTCTTTTTTATTTTATTTGTCTGTACAAATAGACGTGTTTGTGTGAATGTATGTCATGTATTTGTGGTTGCTAGAAGAGGCCAGAAAAAGCTGTCGGATCTCCTGAAGCTGGAGTTACTGGTAGTGTGAGCTGAGCTACACAGTGTATGTGCTGGTAACTGTATTTGAGTCTTCTGGAAGAGTAGGCGGCATTCTTAGCTGCTGATCCATCTCTCTAGCCTACTTTTATTTTTAAATTGTAAGCAGTATAAAAGGTAGTAAGACTAATGTTTTTAAAACCTCACATTTTTTACTTTTGGGGAAATTATATGCTCTTAGCAGATTATTTCTAATGGGCTCAAGTGAATAGAAGCAAAAATTAAGTAACTTTAGAGGGCAGAAACTGTTTACTTCTGAATCGTGTTTTGAAAGTTAGACTGCAAGCAGTCTGCTGATCTTCTGTAAATGGCATTGTTTGTGCTTCATTGCATAGAAGAAAATTCTAAGTTTCAGTTTGCATTGCAGCAGGTGTCTGTAGTGCTTAAGCATAGTCCAGATGTAACATCTTTGCATTTTTTTCTGGCTTAATATTTTCACTTAGATTTTTTTTTTAATTCAAAAACTCTTCTCTTTTATGTGAAGTAATGTGTTATTGGCCTTCCAAAAAAAAAAGTCTTATTCTCATCTACGTATCCTGTTAGTGATCCAATATGGATTATATTCAAAGTAGTTAGCTGATACTAGTCTTTGTATTGGCTGCTTAAAATGTTTAAGATCTTAAACTTTAAACTCAAGGGAAGTCTGCTTCCAAGTATGAGAGCTCAAAATGTGCAAAACAATACATTGTTAAAAAACCATGATTAGGCTTTTTAACACTAAATTTTCAAACATTTCAGAGAAGAAATTTTATTTTGGTAGATGGGAAGATAACAGGTGATGGGATTTTTTTTTCCTAATAAACTTTAACAAATATTTAAATCAACCCTTTTCATTGAGTAAGAAAGGTGTTTCAAAAGATAAGATGCTTAAGAAAAGGACAACTAATGATGGAATTACATTCTAATTTTCTATAAATTTGAAATTTTTAATGTAATTAATAAATCTAGTAAATATTGAGCATGTAAGTAGTATGATAGTGTTCAGTCAGAGTCCTTCAATCTTGACTGGGTTTGATTTTTGGCTTCTTTGCCATGTGACCATGTGATCAGTTACTCACTGAAGAGTAACTGTAACACTTGCCCTAGTAATTCATCAGAGAAAGCCAATATGGTAACCTGAAAGTTTACAGATGCTAGTTCCTCTAGGCTGGGTGCCAGGGCTGCATAGATCACCCTGGTTAGCAGAAGCTATCCCAGTGAACAGGGTTTCTATAGGAGTGACAGCCGAAGTTCCTTTGGAACACAGCCACACCTATCTCTTCATTTACGGTTTTTCTATGGCTGATTTCCTGGGGCGGTGGCAGATTTGAAGGGTAGTGACAGAGACTGTATTACCTGAAAAGCAGGAAGTATTAGCTAGTTGTCCCACTGCAGGACAAGTCTTCATGCTTTTGGTCTAGACTCTAGAATCTAGAAGATAAAATGCTACTCAGCTGCTATTCTTGTTTCTTCCCATGGGCATGTGTAAAGGGATATTTCTACACTAAGGCTGGCAGAGTTTGTTTCTCTCTCAAGCAGAGTTTTCAAAATTGTACAAATACTCAGTATAAAAAAATGAGAGGATTTCATTTGGAGAAAATATAAGAGACATTGAAGTATAGAACGAACTAACTTGAATTTTTAATAATTTTTATCAGACATCATTTGTTACCTGAAAAAGATCATTTCAGAAAACTTCTTGGCAAGTGAAGAAATAGAAAAACTGAAGACAGAATAGTTTTTACCAACTTTGTTACTAGGTAGATTTTTGTGGCCTGAGCCACAAGTTGTGTTGCTTACTTGACATGTCCAAAACTGTTGATCTCTAGAGCTAATCTGTTTTTTTTTTTTTTTTTTTTTTTAGCACTCTTGAAAGAGACCAAAATCTTTAGTAATTACTGCCAAGAATTTTTGGTAAAGCAATGTAAATTTAGACCTACTCATTATAAATGCATATCTTAGTGAAAAATATTAGTCTACAATACAAAAAATGTTAGAAATGGCATAGTCATGTCTTGTTAAAATGGTCTCTTATTTTTCCTCATGTTTTTTCTTTTTGTATTATTTAATTTCCTGACAATTTTTAATAAATTGTAATATTTGGCTGCCAATAAATGAAACTAAATATAGTTAGAATATTTTGTATGGAATTACAAAAAGAAAACACTTGGTTTTGCTTTTTTTTTCCCACAGATGAACACACTTTATTGATTGTTAAATCATAAGAACAGATTTACCAACCAGAAAGCATTATTTTTACATTGAAAATATATCACAAGTTAAATATTTCTTATCTGAAATTGCTCAGGACTGAAAAACTTTTAAGATTTGGATTGTAGGATATATATGTGTGTACAGACACACACATAGAAATATATATGTATATATACATACACAGAGAAATTTGTATGTATATATGTGTGTATATAAGCACACACAAACACACACACACACACACACACACACACATATACACACATACACAGAGTGAGATACCTCCAGCATGGAACCCAAGTGTAAACAGGAAATTCATTCAGGTTCCATATATGCCTTACACACACACCCTGAAAGTGATTTTTATGCCTTATTTTTCATATGCTTGCATTCTGAATATGACCTATCACATGTTTTGAGGTAGAAATACTTGCCTCATTTGTTGTATTCTTTTTAGTTAAGAATGCCAGGGGAGTTATGCTATTCCAGTTGTATTTGGCACATCTGTGTTGAAATTTCTGTTGTGGCATTCCGGAACACTCTACTTCCTTCAAGAAGGAATTGATTTGTTTTGATTTGTTCTGTTATGAGATAAGGTGTCAACATGTTGCCCAGACTGGCTTCATAATGAGGTCCTTACACCACAGTTTCATAAGTGCTAGAATAACAGGGATGCATTAACTACTATATCCTATCAAGAAACTGTTTTGTTTTGTTTGAGAAATAAGTACAATACTTGATTTTGTTCACTTAACATCAGGAAATGTCTGTTTCTTTTACCTACAGTGATTTTTATTTATTTTCGTATTTTGGAGACCAAGTCTCTCGTAGCACAAGTGCAGTTTGAATTTGTTGTGTTATAAGGATGACCTTGAATTAATCATCTTGCCTCTGTCTTCTGAGTGCTAGAATTACAGGCGTGCACTATATAGGTGAGCTTCAATCTAAAATTTTACAAAAAATTAAATCTAGACCAGCATTTAGTAAGGAGGTGGGTAATATAGTTTTTTGGTGAAACAATCAAATCTGACACTTTTGCAACCTGTGCTCTCACTTAAATAGTTTTGAAGCTTTTTTTTTTTTTTTCTTAACATCACTTAAAACTCTAGAGTTAATGCCATTATCCCAGAAATAAAATGCATCTGTGACCAGGACTAACGATTACTACTAGGAAGGCATTCATGCAGGCAGACATTAGTGTCCTTGAAAAAATTAGGCTTTTCTTCCCCTTTTCTTCTTTTTCTGTCCTCTCTGCTTTAGTTAGATATTCAGCTTTTTACTATTACTTGCCTTTGGAAAAAAAAAAGCCACTAATCCTTTTTTTTTTTTTTTTTTTTTTTTTTAGGTGTTGCTTTCATACACTTAACGGTAAGACATAATTTTTTCAAACATGATTTTCAATTTTAACTTTAAAAAGTACAGAAACTAGAACTAGACATGTGGAGCAGTTTCACTCATCCTAAATGCATGTACAGTGTGGCATGTTGACAACACAAAGGAGATTACCTGAAGTACCCTTTCTTCTTGTTTGTGGATTGGATTTACAGCCTCCCTTGTAATAATCACTCTTCTACACTGAGCTTTGTCCACAACCTTAAAACACTCCTGTTACTATGTGTTCATCTTGGTTATGATTGAGATTTTCAGCAAAGGGTTGTAGAGTTGTAACTCTTCATTCTCCTAAGTGGTGTTTGAGACCTGCTGTGTGAGGTACTGTGCTTTTTGCATCATTTGGCAACCAGTAAAGATTTCTGGAGTTGGTTTGTGAGATCAGTGTCTAAGTTAATTAAATTAAAGAATAAACACATGACAATAGTGAATTGTAGTATTTCAAATGAGTTTATGTACTTTGGAGAGAAATAGGGCAAGCTAAAGCAAGGCAGAGTTGTAAAAGCTGCCCACTTTCCTCAGGGTGGGACTTGAGCTGAGACTTTTGACAGAGTCCGTCAGTGGCTAGGTAGAGTATGTATGTTTGTAGAGTATTCAGAGAACAGGGAGAGAAGTGGTCAGGCAGAATCCAAGTCTAGATTTGGGGGCTAAAGAGATGGCTGTTCAATTAAGAATATATATTGTTCTTCCAAATAACTAGAGTTAACGTTCTCAGAACCCATGTGAGAGAGCTCATAACTATCAGTAACTCTAGCTTCAGTGTTCTGACACCCTCTTCTGGCCTCAGAAATCTTGTGTTCATATACATACACGTAAATATATATATATCTTTTTAAAAAGAAAGAGGGCTTGACTGTAAGTTAGTAGGCTTGAGGAATGCATTGGTAGTGGAGATGGGATTGTTTAATGATAAGCAGAACAGCTTTTTGGTTTGCTTATGGTTTTATGTCTGAGGTTCAAACTCCAGATTCTTGTGTATGGTGGGTAAAAGTGTTAGTACTGAGCTACATCCTGGCACTTTTTTTAAAGACAGGATCTCTCCATGTTGCTCTATCTGCCTGTCGAATATTTGAATGCTCAAGTAATTCTTTTGCCATAGCCTTCCTGGTAGATATCACACCAGGATAAGTTTGAAAAATTAGAGGAACAGGGTGAATAATTTATTTTGGTGTCAAATATGGTCACACACAGTTGGTTTGCAAACTGGAATTAAGGATAATTTTCTGCACTAAATTTGGGGCCATTTGCATTTAGGTGTCAACTGCATGTGGCCAACATGCGAGTGTTGTGTGTTGACACAGAAGAGAAGTAGATGGCTTTCTAGGACATGGTAAGTGTAGGAGAAATAGGGAACTATCAAAGTAAAATTGAGAAGCACTCAGTGAGGTAAGGAAAACAGTTAATACTGAAAGCCAGGTGAAGATAAACATCAACAGAAGGAGTTCCATTACTTATTTTCTATTACAACATCACTACCAAAGATAGCTTATGGAAGAATTTGTTTTGACTTGTGGTTCTACAGGACAAGAGTATGCAGGGAAACATGTCAGCAGATATAATGGCAGGAACAAGAGGCTGAGAGATCACATCTTCCCAAACATGAACCAGAGAGAACATGGAAGGGAAGAGATTATGAATGCTCAAAGCTTGTCCCCAGTGACATACTTAATCCTATGCTTCTCTAAAAAGTATCACCAACTGGAGAATAAGTGTTGAAATGCTCAAGCTCATGGGGGACGTTGTTCATACAAACAGCCACAGGAATCATCAAATGCATCAGTACTGTGTGATGGATCATGTCATGTGAGAGCCCACAACTGACCATTGCATTTAGTAGAGTAGAGGTCTGACCTTGTCATGACATTGTCATGACAAGGAAGTTTTAGCAGAGTGGAGAAAGGCTGTTAGGAATGAACTCAATAGAGATAGGAAGAGACTGTTGATGACTTTGGAGAACCTTGGTTATAATGGGAAGTGGGGACATGGGGCAATAACTGGTGGTGAAAAGGGGGTGAGTAGAAAAAGAACAGGAAGTTATATTTAGTAGAATATTGATTGCTGTTGAATGATTCACTAGGAAGAAAATAAACAAGTTGATAATCTCTAGAGAGGAAAAGTACTATAGTGATTATATGTTTCAATAAGCAAGTGTGTAAGTGAAAGGAATTAGCATTTGAATAGAGCATTTTTCGTGGTGACCAGCAGGGTAGCAGAGTATGCAGTTTTAAATACATTCTTTTGTATGGGAGGGTATGCCCATGTTTTGGGAGTGGCATTAACACACATGCTGAGGCCATAGGAGAAAAATGTCAGGAGGCTTTCTCTAGTGTTCTTACTGAACCTGAAGCTTGTTGGTTTCCAGCCAGTGAGCTTCTGCAGTCCACCTGCCTCTGCCCCTGACACTGAGGTTGCATGTACACACAACCATGCTCAGCTTTTACATACGTGCTGGAGCTTGAACTCAGTTTCTCCTGCCTTCATAGCAAGCTCTCTTACCCACTGATCTATCTTTTAGACCCTGCAGGTAAATTCTAGTAGGTAAAATGATGGCATCCTTCATTGCAGAATCTTTCACAAAAAGACTCCCAAGATTCACCTGTAAGTGTTACAGGGTTTTTTTTTTTTTTTTTTTTTTTTTTGCTGGGATTTTGCTTGTTGATGCTTAAGCATGTTAAAGTTCATCATTGGGTGGGCTGTGCTGCAGTGATTCTCTGTGCCTCTTCATTGGCCAGTGCAATAGAGTTCATTCATCAAAGGCATACCTGATTTTAGGCACTGCATGTTTTTTTTTGTCAGCTTTTAGTGGTTTTCTGTCCCAGTTTGATGTTGTGTCATAGACTCCCTCCCAATTATTGTAAAACAGTGGCAACTTTGTTGTTACTCAGCAAGGTAGAAATGGTAGTAGTTCTTACAGGTTTCCTTTGATAGTATTTGTAGGGATCGAAAGTCTTGTGTGACTTCTGTATGCTACACTTTTTTTACTGCAAGGAAATGGGAAAACTAGTCTTTCCCGTAATGGTATTACTTAGAAAATATATGTTCCTTATCTGTGGTTTTGTTTGATTTAATTGGAACATTGAATCCTCGAGGAGTATATTTGCAAAAACCTTAATTTTCCTTGATTGTATGCTCTGAAACCCTAACATATTTTTGTACTTGGAGACAATGTCTTACTCTGTTGCTCCAGCTGTTCTGTAACCTGTGGTGATATTTTCCCTGCCTCTTTAAGTGTTTCTCCTAGACCTCATATTTTGTTATTTGTTTTGTTTTTGTTTGGTTGGTTTTTCTGGTTTTTGAGACAGGGTTTCTTTGTGTAGCCTTGGCTATCCTGAAGCTCACGATGTAGAACAGGCTGCCCTGTTCCTTGCATACATTGTTTTTGGTTTCTTACATGTTTGTGTTTTAAAAGTATCTAATAATGTTGGGATGGTTATAATGAAAAGTTTGCCATGCTAGAAGTAAAGAGACAGCTTTTGCCTTTTTCATGAAGCCATTAAGAATCTGTGTGCTTTCGGTTTGAGTCTCAGGTCTCTAGTTTTTTTAACTGGTGAAAGGAATAGACTGTATTGAATATCTGACCTGCTTTGCATTTAAATTTGTTAATATGTTAGGCGTGCTCCTTATTAAGAGTTTAAGGTAGGCATGATGGATCACACCTGTAATCTTAACACTTGGGAGGCTGAGACAGAATAATCCCAATGAGTTTAAGGACACATAAAGCATAACCTTCCCACCAAAAAGAAGTACTACTTTTTCTTATCACATAACATAAAAATCTCATAGGTCTATGTCTTTCTTTTGATGAACTACTTTGTTTATGATTTGTGTTGCTTGTTGAACAGTTATTTTTAAATATACCCTCAATTTGCTTTAAATATCTACATACCCATTATCTTTTTAAACTTTACCATGTTTTATAGTAAAAATACCTGTTGCACCTACAAATAAAGGTAAATAAACACGGCACAAATCCAAACACTAAAAGTGTGGGAAGATTTGGTGTCATTGGAATAAGGATGAAATTTGCACCTGTGTTGGGAGCCTGTGTTCTATCTTTGCTTGTTAATAGTAGAGCAACATTGTCTAACTACTGGTTCTCAGTTTGCACATCTGTGTAATGGCACCAAGAACTTCACAAGTGATTCTAAGGTGTGGACCTGGCATTTAGTGAACACTCAGTATGTGATCTCTCTCCCTCTCTCCCTCTCTCTCTCTCTCGGTGCAACAGTTGATTACACATCAAAAAAAGGTTATTTGACGCTATTTGTTTTTACATTTGAATTTTTTCCCACTTTAATATCTTACAATGTATTTGAATGTATTTCAGTTTCTATACTCAGATATGTCTCTTCTTCTTTTGAGATGATATATTTGAGGTTTAATTTTTTCATTAAGAATCCCCACAGTGTGCTACCAAGGTGAGAAATAAAAGTGGAATGAAACAGAGATGATTAGCATGGCCTCTGTGCAAGGATGACCTGCAAATTCATGAAGTGTTCCATAGTTTTACAAACGAAGAAAGAAAGTCCCTACAGTGACACTGTGTCTTACTTAAAGCAGGTTTTTATGACTGTTTCTATAAAGGCAGGCTTTACAAGTGTGCTGGTAATGATTTTAATAAATTGTAGGTGGTGCTCTCTGTGAACTAGCTGTAATGTGCATTTTTGTACTGTGTACCTTATATAAACACTGAGATAAACCTGAGCCATATGTTAATTTTAAAGCTTTGTAACTGTTATATGACATTAATAGCACAGGTTAGATATTCATGTGTTAGAAATAAAGAGCCACATGGATTATTCAACAGGGTCCTGGAATCATTTATGTGAGTATCTTAGTTGTTTACATTTTCTTGATTATTTGACTGAAGAAAATAATATTTTTTCATCCAACACATAATGTATCTTTTTATTTGTTATCCACTAATATTTTGATTGAGATTTAAAAATATTTGCAAAGTAAATGTATAGTTCTATTTTTATATTGCAAAGATAATGAAGGCTTTAATGGTACAATCAATATGTTTTTAAATAAATACATTGTTTTACAGCCAAATTTGTATCCTACTGTGTGGCTTGTGACACCAGGAGAAGTGGCTCATGGCAATTTTGGGCAACATCCTTTTGTCTTTGGTATAGAAGACTACATGCGAGAATGGAGAACCAAAATACAGGCCCAGATAGACCAGTTTCCTATTGAGGATAGAAAAGGAGAGTGGCGGGCCATGATACAAAAGTAAGAGCAAAGAATTTTTAATGTACAGATTTAAACACTGAGTGTTTAAAAGACCAACCATTCTTTTTGCATTCAAAGATGTAAATCCAGGAGTCAAGTTTAAATCCTAATTGTGTGTGCTATTGATTATATTTTAATCTCAAAAAGTAATTCACCAGTTGAAAAAAAATAGTGTTGATTTAAACACATACAGAATTGCATTTGTCTGATTTATCTGAATGGAGGAAATAAGTGAGACTTGATTGTAAAAGTAGTTTAACTCTTTTGTTATCTT